GATCCGCCTATTAAACTAATAGCTCAATGGTACTTTAGAATGCAAGTATTAAAAAAGATTGAGGGCTTCTGTGTAAATTTATACAGAGAGACAAACATCCCACGCCTGTCTGGAATCCTTTACTTTTCTCCCCTAATTCCCGAAAATGACCCCCACTTTCCTGATAATTACTTCTCTCTCCCTCTATCACTCTCTCTTACTAAACCCCTTCTCCACTCTCACTTGTGTACTTTTTCTTCTTCTATACACACAGACCAACCTTCTTCCGATCTACGCAAAGTACCAGTTTCTCTTGTTCCATACGCCATTTTCACTGAGAGAAAAAGTTAAGTCGAAGGGAATTTATTTAGTTTTTGTTAATTAATTAAATAAAAATGCCGATCAAGAGTGAAACGACGCCGCCTCCGAGAATCGGGAAGATCGGGCCGTACACTGTATTCGTGACACCTCCGCCCACACCCAATCCGAGTGTGAAACCGGATTCTCCCAAAAAAACCGTTGACGTTCCGGTTCAGGTCCAGACGCCGGTTAAAAAAGTTATACAGCCTCCTCCTCCGGTTATGGCTCCACCAGTGCAGTACTGCGAAGATAAGTCTGTCTTTGCTTTCTTCTGGGACGCCGTGTCCAAGGTCCAAAGCGGTATGGTTTAAAAGACCGCCTTCTTTCTAGTATTTTAAGTTTTTATAGTAATAAATTATTTTGTTCTATTTCTACAGATTTGTAAACATAGGTGAGTATAATTATTATTTTCAGGAATGCTTAATTATAAAGAAATCAACATTCCAAATTTAATTAATAATTTTTGTAGCTCATGCGCGTTTGGATGAGCACGTCGCTCATTGGTTTGGCTTGAATCAGTCCAAGTATCAATGGGCATTGGATGATTACTGCGAAAGAAATGGAAAGGTGAGTTTTTGTTCCTTCTTTATTATTTTTAGTTTTGAAAAGTTAATGTTATTTTCTGATTCTTTCATGATAACTTACTGTATATTATGGTTCAATGCATGATATTCTTGAGTCATTTCCAAAATTGAAGAGTTACTTGAGGCCATAATTATGCATTTACTGATCAAAGTTTCAGTATGCAGCTCGCTTGAGACATTATTTTTGTTGCCAAAAGGGAGAAAATCGTTGAAACATTTCCTGTTATGGGAATTGGATTCCTGTGGAAAATGAATTAGACAAATGATGTTTCCTTACAGCTTTTTCTATAACCCAACTTACAAAAATTAAAGGGCTTGGGTTTCTACTAAATTGCAACTTCATTGCTTATACAGGACTTGAGTGCAGAGTAGAACAATGAGATGTACTGGTATCATTAGGTTCCCTGTTCGGTGGAAAAATAAGTGTTATCCGTGGGATAAGTAGAAATAAAACTTACAATGTAATGTATTAAATGCCTCACATGCTTCTATACCCGTATTCATGTTAGTTGCTTTTGTGGATAAAATTTTTAATTTGGATATTTTTTCCTTATTCATCAACAAAAACAATCCATATGGAGAAGTGTGTCACTCTACTTGAAGGGTTAAATTCGTAAGAGGAAAATTCCATATAGCATGGCAGCAGTAATGGTAATAGCTGTGTTTTTGACAAATAAAAAGTCTATTGACGAGCTTTCGTTGTGAAATAGTTTGCTTGCATACAGGATTAGACGAGCTTGATCATTTTGACTTTACACGAAATTTTGTTGGAACAAGGCTTGCTTGTGTATTTTCAGGCAAACATGTAAGAAGATGGGGAGAGTAGAATATGGACTAATGTGGTGCCCAACGGAATAGGATTTTCTAGTTAGTAGGGGTGTATCAAATGGACGACAAACATTGGTTAAAAAGCTGTTTAAGCTTATGCCTCCTCAAATCCCCTCTCGAATGAAATTTTCATAGAAAGTCTCAAAGCTTAATCTTTAAGTGCATTTGTGAGGTTTGTCTTGCATGACAAACATTGTATAAAAAAGCTATTTGAGGGTTGGGCCTCAAATCCGGTCTCACTCTAGGCTTTCATAAAAAGTTTCAAAGCTTAATCTTTAAGCGCCATTTGTAAGGCTTGTTTTGCGCGAAAACATTTTGTTAGTTGCCCTAACTTTTTGGGCTATTTCTTTATAATCTCTAACGTTTTGTGGACCATTACATTTTCTTTTATCAGCATTTGCACGAAAAGGGAAGGGACAATTTATAATAACTGGTGGAGGGTGATGGATAAAGAATGAGAGGAAATTAATAGTGACAAGGAGCTTGATGTTGATGATAACCTTAAAGATCCTTTTTGACATTGATATAAGAGATTTTCTAAGTTGATCTAATTCTATTAGTACATTACAATTTTGATTCGTGATTGTTAATTTGATAACTTATTATTTGCTGCTTTATTAGTATATTTGTTTACAAGTTGGACTTTTAATTTTGTTAATTTGTTTTATTATGAATTTTTTAAGGTGGTTTATGATTTATCATGAGCATATTTTTGTATTTTTATATTCATTTGAATTATTTTATTGGTTTGTTTAAAGCTTATTCTTTACCTTATCTCTATGAAAACGATTCAATACCTGATTAAAGCCTTTTTAAATTATGGCATCCAAAAAGATCGTGTAGCTAACTTAAATTTTATGGGGAATAACTTAAACTTTGTGAGCATGTCCAGGTCCAGTGTTTACAGGGCATGAATGTATTACTGCAATTATTGAATTTGTGAATGTTCTTGGATTCTAATATTGCTGCTTGGAAATGGTCTCTCCAGTTATTTGACCATCCATATGAGTTGATCTAATATATGTGATACGTGCTGACTACAGAACCAAACAGAGGCAAAAGCACAAAATGGAATGCGAAATGTATAACGCAAGCAGGTACAATAATGTAACATTCTTGATTTATTTTTTATGGTTCAGAGTGGAGAAAAATGGTTGTCAGTCAGTAGTATTTGGAATGTTGTATGTGGATTCTATCATATTTCAGGGTATCTTTCAAGCAAGGACACCTGTTTAAGCTCGAGTCGGTGGCATCCACAGTTGGAGTATGAATAACGTGTGCTAATGCATGAAGGAAGCTCTTGTCAAATGTACTAGTTTTGATTTTTATTTTATTTTTTCTTTTTTTTGGTTGTTATGATACTACTGCGGCTGATATCATGTTATATTTAATGCTGTAGCCCTGTGTAGTTTTATCTCAAGTCTGCAAAGAGCTTTTTGATAACCCTTATATAGAAGTGCCTAATTCTATTTGGTACCTTTTTATTTTGATACTTGCAAGCATCTGGGTGTTATTGGATGCTATCTTTTCACCATTTTGGTATGTTTACGAGGATTATTAGTCAGTTTTTGGAATATTAAAAAAGTTCCATTTTAGTGTTCTACCATCTAATTTTACGTTTGAAACATGAACTTTCGGGTTTTTGCATAGACCCTTGCCTTTCGAAGGCATGAACAGGGGATTGTTGTGAAATTCGAATGCTCTGGCTTCTACCTTCGGCCATTTGTCAGCACGATAATGGCTGCTTCGCCATGGCTAAGAATAATAGCAGAGTGACCTCTTGGAGCAAGAGGTCCTGTGAGGATCCACGGACATTGGGTCATACAACATGACATGAAATCCATGGGCACTTCGATGGTTGCAATCACCACGATCTTTACATCCCTGACATTCTCACGTAAATTTGGTGTCCATTAATCACTTGAGACCATTGTTCCTGACTGACCTGAGATTCACTGCAAATCTTAATTGCCAACTTTAGTTGAATTTGAATGTTACTCAAATGTAGCATTGACACTATCAATCAGCTTGAATTTTAATTGACAGAAGCTATTTGGTTGCCTTGTGAACAATATGATAAACCCCCAATTAAATTTACAAGTCCAAGTCACAAGACGTCAAACGGCCAAGCAAGCACAGGGTGGGGAAGCCAACAACCTGCCAGCAGGGCTTAATGGGAATCTCTAGAAGGATGCTGAGTCATTAAATTTTTTAGGGTCTGTCAGTTTGTTAGAGTTGGTTGGGAAAGGGGTATAAATAAACATGTAAGGGGAGGCGAAGGGATACGGAAGAAATCAAGAAATAGGGGAATGGAGAGTCAATTTCCATTAAGTTCTCTTTTACACTATTTGTTTCCTTTGAATCTATTCTACAGAAAATTTCTACATAATTCATCTTATTCTCAGTGGTGGTATTTTTTTTTTTTTATTATTTTTTTATTATTATTTTTTTTTTTTTTTTTTTTTTATTATTTTTTTATTATTATTTTTTTTTTTTTTGTTTTTTAACAAAATTTGGGCTGAATTTCGGATTTTACCCTACCAAAGAGGTATCAGAGCAATTGATCCAACCTCTACAATCACAACCCTTCCAGATCGTGTTGAGTCATTAGAACAGCAGGTAGCAGCTAACCAGCACTTCAGGCCGGCATCGGCAGCATGAGGCATGAATTTCATCAATTGCAAAATGAACTAATGGGCAAACTTGAACTGCTAATGAGGACGAGGGAGACCCATGAACGTGATAGGAAAGAAAAAGGTGTAGCCATCGAAAACTCTTCGGGCTTGTCACCAGTGATGGATGGTGCGCAAGCAAGTACAAAGGGGAGTCAAAGCAATGGAAGTGGGGTAGATAGTGGCTGGAGATTTGAATTGCACATCAGACGGTTGGATATGCCTGTGTTCAACGGGGATGACCCGGATGGATGGGTTTTTTGGGTCGATTGCTATTTCTAGAATGACAGATGAAGAAAAGAGGGATGCAGCTGCCGTTTGCCTGGATGGGGATGCCTTAGCCTTGTTTCCATAGGAGGAGCGTCGGCGGAATATGAAAATTTGGGAGAAGTTGAAGGTCAAATTGTTGCATCAGTTCCGATCGACACAAGAGGGTTCACTATGTGCGCAATTTCTGACCCTCCATCAAACGACCACCGTTAAAGAGTATCGTCAACAATTTGAGAAGCTTGCATCGTCGCTGTAAAACATCTCCAAGGATGTATTGGAGTGCAATTTCATAAATGGTCTCAGCCCTCGTATTAAAGCTGAGGTCCAATTGTTGAAATCAGTATGCCTGGAACAAATAATGGACCTGACCCAACGAGTGGAAGAGAGAGATGCTATCATAACCCTCAGCCCAAGTGCATCCAACCCAAACGGGTTGAAAGGAGCCTAGAGGAGTCTTAGCCCACAAAATTCCCAAGCCTCTATAAACTTCCTGAGACAAACTGTGCTCGTCAATCCTACTCGTCGAAACCCATCAACACCTTCAAGCGATTGATAGACGTTGAACTCCAGGCAGAGAGGGAGAAAGGGCTATGTATAGGTATGACGAAAGGTTCACCATTGGACATCGCTGTAGGAATAAGGAGCTACAAGTGATGGTAATTAGGGAGAATGAAGAAGAGGATCCCGTAGGTGGGACGAACCAGGTTTAGGGGGCATTGAGTGTGGCCATGTCAACGAGCAAACAGGTGGCACCAGCGGCGAAGTGATGAGATTGGGAGCACCTATCGAACTATCCATCAATTCGATGGTTGTCTCACCACTCTAGAAACAATAAAAATTAGAGGGAGCATTGGCAACAGAGGTGTGATTGTACTAATTGATTGTGGGGCCTCACATAATTTTCTTTGAAGAGGCGGTTCAGCAATTAGGACTATCGCTATCCAACACCACCGGATATGGAGTTATAATGGGCATGGGGCTAACGATTAAAGAAGAAGCAATCCATAAGGGAGTGAAGCTACAACTTCAGAATGTGATGATAGAAGATGACTTTTTGCTATTGGAATTAAGCAGTCAGACATCATTCTCGGGATGCAATGGTTGCGCGAGTTAGGAGAAATGCAAGTCAATTGGCAAACTCTGACAATGACCTTTACCGTAGCTGGAGCACGGTAACATTGAAGAGGGATCCCAGTCTGAGTAGAACTTCGGTGTCTATGACATCGATGTTAAAAGCGCTTAAAGCCCATGGTGAAAGGGTGTTGCTGGAGTTGGGAAACATTACGGTACAAGCCAATCCAATTTACTCGGAAACCCCAGAACTGATCACTAAGGTACTGGAAGAATTTCATCAAGTCTTTGAGATGCCTAACTGTCCTCCTCCCCTGAGAAAACACGATCATGCTATTAATCTACAGCCCAGGACATCCCTAGTAAGTGTGAGACCTTACCGATATCTTCATTTTCAGAAGAGTGAGATTGAGAGACTAGTTCAGGAAATGTTAGCAGCAAGTTTAATTCAGTAGAGTGTTAGTCCGTTCTCGAGCCCAATTTTGTTAGTTAAGAAGAAGGATGGGAGCTGCAGGTTCTATGTGAACTATCGGGCTTTGAACAAAGTGACAATTCCTGATAAGTATCCAATGCCAGTACTTGACGAATTGCTTAATGAGCTTGGGGGTGCTACCATATTCTCCAAGATAGATGGTATCACCAAATTAGGGTGAAGCCAGAAGATGTACCGAAGACGACGTTTAGAACCCATGAGGGACATTATGAATTTCTCATCATGCATTTTGGGCTGACAGACACTCCGACAGCCTTTCAATCGCTCATGAATGAGATTTTTAGGGGTTACTTACGGAAGTTCGTGTTGGTGTTTTTTGATGACATTCTTGTTTACAGTCGCACAACTGAGAAGCATAGAGATCATTTGAGAACAGTGATGTAGGTGTTGGCCGACAACCATCGATATGCTAATGAGAAGAAGTGTCGGTTCGATCAACGGGAATTGGAGTATTTGGGGCATGTTATTTCAGCTTCTGGGATAGCGGTGGATAAATCTAAAGTGATAGCTATGAGGGATTGGCCGAGGCAGACAACGATCAAGAAATTAAGGGGATTTTTAGGACTCACGGGATATTATCGTCGGTTTGTGAAATCATGTGGGAGCATAGCTTGGCCCTTGACGCAACAGTTAATAAAAAGACAGCTTTGCATGGATGGAAGAGGCAAAGGAAGTGTTCATAAAATTGAAAAATGCCATGATAACTATGCCAATTCTAGGATTGCCCAACTTCACACAGCCGTTATGGTAGAAATTGATGCCTCCGGGTATGCAGTACAGGTAGTTCTCATGCAAAACAGGAGACCCATTGCGTACTTCAGTCAGACACTCCCTCCACGGGCTCAGCATAAGTCAATATATGAAAGGGAACTCATGGCCATCATATTAGCAATACTGAAATGGATGCATTATTTGTTAGGCAGATTTGTGGTGTAACCTGACCAACGAAGCCTTAAATTCTTGCTGGAACAAAGGGAGGTGAACCAGGAATACCAAAAATGGCTGGCTAAACTTTTGGGGTTCGATTTTGACATCGAGTATAAGGCTGGTTTGGAAAATAAAGCAACAGATGCACTTTCTAGGGTGGACGCTACAGCAACATTATTGGTCCTAATTATGTCTCATACCCTGAAATTAACAGCGATCGAGAAGGCAGTAGAAGACAATACTGATCTGGGACGGGTGCTAAAGTCCCTACAAAATAGTCAAACACATTTTCCTGGTTATTCCTTGTTACGGGACAACTTGATGTATAAGGGCAGACTTGTGCTACCAAGAGACTCATCGTTTGTACAAATAGCCTTACAAGAAAGACATGACAGCAAGGGAGGAGAGCATGGAGGTTTTCTGAAGATTTATTGAAAAGTGGCAAAGAACTTCTATTGGAAAGGCATGAGAAGGGACATCAAGGCATATGTAGCCGCGTGTGAAATTTGTTAGCAACACAAGTATTCCGCCCTGGCACCGACGAGACTGCTCCAATCGCTACCTGTTCCTGACAAAGTATGGGAGGATATTTCGATGGATTTTGTGGAAGGGCTGCCAAAATCAGAAGGGTTTGATTCAATTTTCGTTGTAGTAGATTGTTTAAACAAATACACACATTTCATTGGCTTAAACACCCATTTTCAGCCCCATCAATTGCTGCAATTTTTGCTAAAGAAGTGTTTAAACTACATGGAATATCTCGTTCGATAGTTTCGGATCGAGATAAGGTGTTTGTGAGCCAATTTTGGAGTGAGCTTTTCAGATTGCATGAGACATCACTAAAGCATAGCTTGGCCTATCATCCACAAACCGATGGGCAAACGGAAGTGGTAAATAGGATAGTAGAGACATATCTACAGTGTTTTACTTCAATGAAACCAAAACAGTGGTATCAGTTTCTTTTTTGGGCCAAATACTCTTACAACACTTCTTATCATGTATCAGCACAACTCACCCCTTTTCGCATTCCATACGAATGCGACCCACCCTCGTTAATTCGCTAAGAGGTGGGTACCACAGCCATCTCATCCTTGGAACAACAAATGCCAGAACGAGATAGAGTTTTGGATGAATTAAAGATACACCTCCATAAAGCCCAGCAACAAATGAAGTTGGCGACTGACAAACATAGAAGAGATGTGGAATATGTGGTCGAAGACTGGGTTTATGTGAAAATGAGACCGTAAATCACTAGTGGTACGTCACAAGGGAAAGTTAGCCCCGATTTACTACTGACCGTTTGAGGTGTTAGCCAAGGTAAGAAAGATGGCCTATCGCCTCTCACTACCAGTTGCTGCTTGTGTCCATCCTGTTTTCCATTTTTCGCAACTAAGAAAGATGGAGGGAAACGCTCCAGTAACATCTTTCCTACCCCCCAACTCGATCAAGATTGGGAGTTACTTGTGGAACCAGAATTTGTCTTGGATTCAGACAGCCAAAACAAGGTACAACGGAAGCTATGGAGGTCCTGATTCAGTGGAAGGGTCTGTTGCCTATGGAAGCAACGTGGGAACCATTTGACTTAATAAACAAGTAATTTCCTTCTTTGAACCTTGCGGACAAGGTGACTGCATTGGGAGGAGGGGTATTTGATAAGCCCCCAATTAAATTTACATATACAAGACATCAAAAGGCCAAGCAAGCACAAGGTGGGGAAGCCAACAACCTGCCAGTAGGGCTCAATGGGAATCTCTAGAAGGATGCTGAGTCATTAAATTTGTTTGGGTCTGTTAGTCTGTTAGAGTTGGTTGGGAAAGGGATAAAAATAAACATTTAAGGGGAGGGAGGGGAGGGGATATGAAAGAAATCAAGTAAGAAATAGGGGAATGGAGATTCATAATTTCCATTAAGTTCTCTTTTACAGTATTTGTTTCCTTTTGAATCTATTCTACCCAAAGTTTCTACATAATTCGTCTTATTCTCAGTGTTCTTTTCTAATTCTGGGCTGAATTCCGGATTTCACCCTACCACAATATAGAAATATAAGTCACCAATGGTGAAACAGTATAACCAAGGAGCACATCCTTAATGCCCAAGGAGAACATGGAAAGTTGAAATGTGAAAGAGCAATGCTGTAAAAGAAGCAAAAAGCCACAGAAATCGTTTGCCTCAATTATGAATAATCTATCGAAACAAGAAAGTAGCAAATGATTTTCAGTTCAGCACAACAATGAGATCCAAGTAGGTGCAGATAGATTCAGTGTCACATATAACAATATAGTATAACAAGAAGAATTTATGCCAAATGATCTTATTGACAACTAATGAACATGTCACGCACGAGCCATACTCATAAATAACACAACCCTCGTGTTGACTCACGTTAACAACTGTCTGCAAAGGGGCAAATTATATTAAACATATACTGCGTCTTGGGTGTTACTTATATGCAAACATAGTCACTAGCAATAAAATACACAAAATTGGAGATAAAGTGAAAGAATAACGAAACTAATAAAGATAACCTTTGTACATTGTGTTGGAGTCACTGAACAACTCTAGACAGCAGGTATGTTGGAAAAGGAGAACTCTTTGTATCCTATGTATGCATAGTATGAAATCCGTGTATAATAGAATCCAGGAATGAACAGAATTCCACCCAGTATGGCGAAGAATAGCCCTACAAATACATTATTAAATAAAAAAATGTAATATTTGATAAGAGAGTGGAATTATGCTAAGGAGAAAATGCCTTAGCGGGCTGCTTGGGGAATCTTACATAGAGATTGTAAAAAACACTCATTCACAAGAGCAATGTAATACCAGTAAAACATATTGGAAGTCATGTAGAATAAATTAACATAACCAAAAAATATTTGAATTTTTAAATAAGCTTAGCATCTGATCTCCTCTCGATTATAAGAAAGAACCAGACACACAATGTTAAAATCTATAAATGATCTATTAGAATCCAATGTATTAAACTTTGTCGAGGTTAGACGACACCTTCATTTACAGGTAATTCTTCATTTCACTGACAAAGTCCTAATACTGCACATGTATATCCATTAACAAAAGGAATCATTTTTTTTTTCTCCACTTAACAAGATCAATTTCGAGACTGCAGTATAAAATGTACCCTTTATATCTTATGTATCACTAAAAAAGCCCCCACAAATAGATCACCAGAAACAGAACAGCTTCAAGTTGCCGAGAAGGTGGGTGAACGGGAAAAATAAAATGAAGTAATACCCGAAAAGGCAATAATATGCGAAGATTCTGGCATTATGCAGTAAAATACTAATTAATTTTTAACGTGGTCCCCCCCCCCCCCTCTC